CGCTAGTCCCGCGGACTCAATCTGGCCGGCGCAGGCAGCGCCGCGGACAGCCCCGGCCGCCAAGAGGTCCCGCGCGGCCTAGGCGGTGATGGCGACGGCTCTGTGGAGACGTGGCTGGCGCTTCCGCTGGCGTGCACCCGCCGCGGCAGGCAGGGTGCGGGGCGCAGCGGGGGCCGCAGCAGGTAGGGCGGGGCCGGGGGTGTCTGCGTGGGGGTTCGGGGGTGTATGGCCACGTGGCGCGGAGGTGTCCGCGCGGAACTCTGTCTCCAGCCGCCCCGCAGCTCCCTTCCCAGATGGGGAAACTGAAGCTGGCGGGCCTGCCTGAGGCCCCGTGGGAAGAGTGACCTGTACCTGCTGAACCTGTCGCCTCCTGGAGCTCGGCACTCCACACCGTTAAGCCCGATATTAACAGTAGTCCTGATGATCATGAGGAAGTCTCTCGCCTGGCGCCACCCACCGCCCGCCGGCCAGTTCTGCCACCTCCTCCTGAGGCCCCAAGCCGCTAGCGGCCGCCCGTAGTAGGCGCTCAATACATGCACATGCAGGGAATGAATGAAGGGACGCTAGGGAAGTGGATGGGCTCTGAGCGTCCACTGCTTGCCGCGGAGTGCGGGTGCTGCGGGTGCGGGGTTGGGGGCGGGGGATGAGGCGATGTGCTGGTGGAGCCACTAAGGAGCATTAACCAGACCACGACAATTATCACATAACCCTAAGTTCCCGGGGTGCCACCTGGGTCCCGAAGAAGGGGCTGGACGCCAGACCACCTAGGAGGGCTCATGCCCAATCCTGCAGGATGGGCTCCCCACAGCTGGCCACAGCACCACCACTGCCGGTGTGATGTGGTCTGTTCCCAGGAAGTCGGTGACAGCACTTGACTCTCACATGAGTTTGAGTGTTGAGGGGCGACAACTTTTTCACAGAGCTGGCGGCCGTGGGAGGAAGAGTGGCAAGAGCTGACCACACATGTAAATGGGCAAGCTGTGCACTACCCTGGCCTTGGGGAGACCGGAACCTAGGACTGCCCTTATGGCCGCTTTTGCTTACCCCGTGGCTGTGCAAGACCTTGGAGCCAGTCTCGCTGGACTTGAGGGCTCACTGGGAGTGCTGGAAGACAGGATGTGACCAGTGTAGCCACAGCCTGGGGCTTTTCAGGCTGCTGGGCTGCCTCGGCCTTGGGGCAGAGTATTTTGTTTGCAGCTAGGCAGGAGCCCTTCCCCAGGACTGCCCCCGTGGGCCTGCAGCAGCAGCCCAGGTGTGCTGGTAGTGAGGGAAGCCCCCAGGTTAGAGCTTTGCTGCGAGTGATGAAGGACAGAATATGCACAGTGCCAACCCCCGACAAGAACGTCCAAGTCCGAGCCTCCTCATGCAGTTTAGCCCTGCAGCTTCTCTGGGGGCAGGCCACCCTGTCCCCAGCCTTGGGGATGTCTGATGCTGCCCTTGAACGGGAACCAGTGCTGTTGGCTCTTGTCACTTGTCACTTGTCCAGTGTCACTTGTACCCTGACATCTGCTGCCAGGAAAGAGCGTGGGTAGGGAGAACAGTGCACAGGTGGCTGTCCGAGGAGGCCGGTGCACCCGTGGGGCTGCATAGGGACCCTTCAGCTGACCTTCGCCTGGGCAGTACCTTGTCTTACTCGTGTGCTTCTGCTCTGCTGCTGGCCCAGCAGCAGGCACCATGGTCAGAAATGAGCAGAAACTTCAAGGCCAGTGCACTCAGGACTCAGGCGAGGCAAGAGGCTGTGGACAGAAGCTGTTCTGGGTGTCCAAGCCTGAGCCCTCAGGGCCCGCAGGGAGGGCTGCCTGGCTGAGGCTGTGACCTGAGCCAGAGCAGGGTGGGCACAGGCAGTCTGGAGAAGCACAGAGGGCATAGGTGTGTCCCTGGGGAACGCCTACCACCCACCCGCCTGCCCATGGTAACCTCCCTCAGGGTCCTTCCTCAGTGGGCCACCAAAGCCTCACAAATTCTTCAAAGGCGGACTTTGTACCCTTAAAAAAGGTTCCAATTGCTGACCTTTCTGAGTGTTTATCAGACTCATGTGCCCAGTGTGCAAGCAAACCTCCCAAAGATAAGCCCTGTCTCTGCACTAGCCGCAGGACCCGCTCTCTGATAGCAGCAGCAGGCCTCAGTGAGTGGGAGGTGCAGCTCGGGCTGCACACAGGACGCCCGAGCAGGCAGGAGGACAGGCATCTGCAATGGAAGGTAGGGACAGACATCCTCAGCAAAGCCCAGATCACAAAGTCAGCCCTCAATTCTCTGGCCTCATATCAAAGCCATCAGAGTTGGGCAACTGTTTAGGCCATTAACAGTGCTTGAGTTGAACTTGGGGCTGGGTCTGCTTTTAACTTGGCTATGTGAAGAGTCAGCATGTTAGATCCCTGTGTACACGTACACCCATCTTGATGCACTGCCACCTGATGACCTTGGTATGGGGCCAGCTGTGGGGTTCAGATGCAGCAGGTTCCTGGAGGGCCCAGAGCAGCACAGGGCAGGTCAGCTGCAAGCCACACCTGAGTGCCAGGACACCACTCCCGTGCCTCTGCAGACCCAGGGGTCGGTGATGGAGACCACTCCACCCAGGTCTCCAGAGCGTGGGACTCTGGGCAGGGGCTGTAGGTGTGTTCTTGGCCACTTTGCCAGCCTGGAAAGGTTGAGGCTGTTTCAAACCAGCCTTCTCGATGACAGACACTGGGCTTTGCCGCTGGCATGGGGAGGACTCACCAGCCTGGGGACAGGTGGACCTCACCTCACTTGATCACAAGACCCTGGGTCGCTGGGGCCTGATATGAGCTGCACGGGGGCCAGTGCTTCTTGCTGCCCTCTCTGTGCACACAGCGTACAGCCCCGACACCCTGGGAGGGCAGCATCTCTGCCTTGGTTTATACCCTAGACCCTGGTCAGCCATCCTCCCCCCGACCCCTGCTGTCATAGTGGTCACCACCACCATCAACGGTAGCCATTGAGTCGACTGACTCAGGGTGACCCTATGTGTGTCAGAGTAGAATTGTGCTCCATGGGGTTTTCAGTGGCTGTGATCTTTTGGAAGTAGATCGCCAGGCCTTTTGTCCAAGGTGCCTTTGGGTGGATTTGAACCTCCAGCCTTTCAGTTAGCAGCTGAACGCAGTAACCGTTTGTACCCCCACCCCACCTCCCACTCTTGCCACACCCTGCCTTCCTCTCTCACCCCCCTGCCTCCTTTCCTCAACCCCTCCTTTCCTCATCCCCCTCCCTTGGGCTGTCTCTCCCCTGCCTTCCATGCCAATAGCTTGCAGAACAGCAGCAGATGACACCTTCTGCAGGATAGAAAAGGTACAGGAGGATGCAGGCTGCCTGTGATGGGGGGAGGGACACCAGAGGGAGCCCAGAAGGGATCCAGGGAAGAGACCTGAGCCAGGCTGGGGACCACCTCCCTCCCCAGTCTCCCCGTGCAGTGCAGCCTTCTCTGAGATGATGCATCCTCCAGGAGAATAGCAAGGCCTGCTGTGTGTGCCGCCGGCTTCCGACAGCCTGCCTGTGCCTGCCCTGTGTCCTCACTCTCTGATAATGAAGAATAGCTTTGCAACTGAAAAACATGGCTCAAGGAAAACGTGCTTTTCACCTTTGGTTTAATTCTGTGTCTGGCTCTGACACTATCTGAATTTTGGGTTCAAAGAGGTCCTGTTAGTCACTTTCTCTTCCTCTGGACGTGGTGAGGGTTGTAGGTGAGCTCACGCGGGCCTGCTGGCGCCCCTCACCCCCATACTCCTTGTTCTCTGGACTTGAGCAGATGGTGGGATCAAGCGCAACCTTCTGCCCCAATGTATGATTCATTATCATCCCAGACAGTCACAGGCCAGGTCCCTTATACTGATAAAATACATCCTATATAAGGTTTAGGGGGCAGTGGTGGTTCAGTGGTAGAATTTTTGCCTTCCATGCAGGAGACTCAGGTTTGATTCCCAGCCAGTGCACCTCATGTGCAACCACCACCTGTCTATCAGCAGAGGCCTGAATGTTGCTGTGATGCTAAATAGGTTTCAGTGGAGCTTCCAGACTAAGACTAGGAAGAAAGGCCTGACAATATACTTCCCAAAATCAGGCAGTGAAAACCCTATGGATCACAATGGTCCTATCTGCAACTGATCCCAGGGATGGTGTAGGACTAGGCAGCATTTTGTTTCATTGTGCATGGGATCGCCATGAATCGGGGGCCAACTCAATGCCAGTGAACAACAACAACCACCTGTAACATTTAACCAACAGAAATTCTTGCCCTTTGGAAGTCATGTGGCCCCTTCTGGAACCTATGCCCCAGTCTTGTAGCTGGTTTCCTTCCTCTCACATCTCATCCTTCATCCCAGCAGGGCAGCGGAACTATGACCTCCTGGTGATTGGCGGAGGATCTGGTGGCCTGGCCTGTGCCAAGGAAGGTATGTGTGCATCCCGTGTCCCTGCTGGCATAGCAGAACTTCAGAGCTTTTAGGGCCACCTGACGAGAGCAGCGCTGTTCTCAGGGCCTGGTGGGAACATGTCCTGAGTGGCAATGAGTGGATGCATTGCTTTGGCAGCTGGCCTCCAGCGGTGGCCCGTCCATTCTCAGAGCAAACGCAGGACCTTGTCACCCTTGCAAGGTTGCCCTAGCAGCCACCTTGCTGTTCCCTGCTCCTAACCTCCCCCAGCTATCTGTGGTCTACACAGCAGCCAGCCGGGGTGAACCATTTAAGACCTACGTCTGAGCCTGCCCTCCTCTGCTTGAGCCCTCCAGGGCTCCCTTTCCTTTACTCAGCCACCATAAGCCACCAGGCCAGAGGACCTGCTCCTGTCCTTGTCCGACCTCATCTTCCACAACTTACTCGCACCACTCCTGACCCTCTGCATCTGTGCTGCTCTCAGGTGCTTTGGGATGGGCCCTCTCGCTTCTGCCTCCCCTGGCTGGGTGCTCTGCCTGCTCACTCTCCTCCTTTGCTTTTCTGCAGCGAGGCTGCCAAGATGATCCTACTGGAATGTCATGCCCTTGCACATCCAGTCCGTGTGCCCAGTCTCCTCTTCTTTTTCCTAGCGCTGGTCGCCCTTCAGCAAAGACTCCACTGGGGTATTATGCCAGCTGTATCTCGTGTTCTGCCCAGCACCCACACAGGCCTGGGCATGGTAGGCACTTGGTAAAGATCTGTCAAAGGAGCAGGCTGGATCCAGAGGCCAAAACAGAAGGCATTGCAATTTGCTGTTAGCCTATCATGAGCAGATGGCCAGGCTGAACCCGGACTCTGCTGTGATGTGAGGTGTCGGCGGCATCTGTGTGATAAGCAGGCAGATGTTGGATGGATGGAAATGGTGGTGTCTTAGTTATCTAGTGCTGCCATAACAGAAATATCACAAGTGGATGGCTTTAACAAACAGAAATTTATTCTCTCACAGTCTAGGAGGCTAGAAGTCTGAATTCAGGGTGCCAGCTCCAGGGGAAGGCTTTCTCTCTCTGTCAGCTCTGGGGGAAGGTCCTTATCATCAGTCTTCCCCTGGGTCTAACCTGATAAATCCACTCTAACATGCCAATTTCCCTAAGCCTTTGGATACTTTCTTCTACAATATACCAAGACAGGTCTTGTGTTTCAACTTGATTTAGTATATGTAGGCCACTGTGTAATTCATGCTTCAGCAAACCAACCAAATAAACTGTTAGATTTTTTCCTGATCTCTCGAGCTGAAACACTGAATGAGGAATCTGTGCTTAGTGGGCCCATATCAATAAACTCAGACTTATCCAACTTTATGTTCCTTGCACCATTATCCCACACCTTAATAGCCATTCCCACACATATTCCCCAGTTTCTGTTTGTACATTTTAGAAAGTCAAGCAGTTCTTTTGGAGTGTAGCATACCTGCTCCTGGGTCACACTTTGTTCTTCACGTTTTGGGGTTCGCTGGGACTTAAGTCTAGTTACAGATCTAGAAGCAAAAATGGATGGTGGGGATGTGTTTTGAGAACATTCGGCATTGTCTTGTAAGGCATCTGCCTCAGGCAATGCCCCAGGTGATGACTCAGATGGGTGGAGACAGAAAAGCAGGGCCCAGCATGAGAGGGAGGTAACTGGGTGCTCTGGCCGGGAACTGGGGTTCGTGAACATCAAATAATTGGATTTTAGAACCACAGACTGTGTAGAGGGAAATCCATATTCCACGGCACTTGCTCTGAGTGGCAGGTGGAGGGTGCTGGCCTGCTGTGGTGGGGGCAGGAACCTGAGGAGCTGCCGGTGGATTTAGGGGTCAGCAGAGGGACACAGTGCCGTCAGCCCACTGGGCTGTCAAAGCTGCCCCAGGAAACAGGCTGCGGAGGCTCTGTGCCCCAGTGGACAGCACAGAGCCAGTTGTGCCTATAATGTCCCTTATAGCTGAAGAAAATCCTGGACCATGTGTCCATCTGGTTTTGTGTGTCTAAAGAGATGTTTGTCCCTCAACCTGGAACAGTTCCTGGGCTTGTCTTTATAGCAGTGGCATTTCCCCCTGTGGATGACTGCATTTTACAGCTTTATTGAGACATAATTGACATACAAGAGACTGTCCATATTTAAACTGTACAATTTGGTCAGTTTTGACATCTCTTCACACGTGTGAAGCCAGTAGTACTGTAATCAAAGTAGTGAATGTATCCATCACCCCCAGCAGTTTCCCCGAACCCCTTGGACACCCTGCTCTCCCTCCCCACCTCCCCAGCAACCAATGATCTGCTTTCTTTCACTATAGAGTGGTTTGCATTTTCTGAAATTTTATGTAAATGGAATGATGCTACATGGATTTTTACTTTTCTGGCTTCTTTCGCTCAGCATAATTATTTTGAGATTCATCTATGTTGCTGTGTGCATCAGTAGTTCATTCCTTATTATTGTTGACTAGTATGCCCTTGTATGGATATACTGTAACTTGTTTATCCATGTACCTGCTGATGAACACTTGAGGTATTTCCAGTTTTTGGCTTTTATGAATAATGCTGCTATGAACATTTCATGTATGTATCTTTGTGTGGACATATGTTTTTATTTCTCTTGGGTAAATACCTAAAGATGGAATGACTGGGTCATGTAGTGTATCTATTTAGGTATTTTTACATGCAGTATTGTAGTTTTCAATGTATAGGTCTTTCACATATTTTGTCAGATGTATCTCTAAGTGTTTCATTTTTTTTTTGTTTGTTTATTGTTGTAGTTTAAGTGAAAGTTTACATTTCGAGTTAATCTCTTATATAAAAATTTATACATACATTGTTATGTGACCCTAATTGCTCTCCCTATACTGTGACAGCACACTCCTCCTTTCCACCCCTGATTTCCCGTGTCCATTCAACCAGCTCCTAACCCTGTCTGCCTTCTCATCTCACCTCTGGACGGGAGCTGCCCATTTAGTCTCATGTATCTACTTGAGCTAAGAAGCACACTCTTCACGAGTATCGTTTTATGTCCCACAGTCCAGTCCAATCTTTGAAGAGTTGGTCTTGGAAATTGTTTTAGTTCTGGGCTGATAGAGAGTCTGGGAGCCATGCTTTCCGGGGTTCCTCCAGTCTCAGTCAGACCATTAAGTCTGGTCTTTTTACATGAATTGAGTTCTGCACCCCACCTTTCTCCTGCTCCATCAGGAACTCCCTATTGTATTCCCTGTCAGGGTGGTCATTGGTGGTAGCTGGGCACCATCTAGTTCTTCTGGTCTCAGGCTGATGAAGTCTCTGGTTTATGTGGCCCTTTCTGTCTCTTGGGCTAATACTTTCCTTGTGTCTTTGGTGTTCTTCATTCTCCTTTACTTCAAGTGGTTGGGACCAATTGATGCATCTTAGATGGCTGCTTGCAAGCTTTTAAGACCCCAGATGCCACTCACCAAAGTAGGATGCAGAGTGTTTCATAATTTTCATAACAGCTTTATTGAGGTATGAGTCACATACCATACAAATCACCCTTTTAAAGTGTATAATTCACTGATTTTTAGTATATTCACAGAGTTGTGCAACCATCACCACAATCCATTTTAGAACATTTTCATCACCCCAAAAAGAAACCCTGTACCCATTAGCAGTAACTCCTCATTCCTTCCTCTTGTGAGCTCCTAGCAGCCACTGATCTACCATCCCTATCTGTCTCTATGGATTTACCTATTCTGGACATTTCATATAAATGGAATCATACAATGTCTAGTCTTTTGTATTGCTTCTTTCACTTAGTATGATCTTTTCAAAGTTCATCCGTGATGTAGCATGTATCAGTACTTCATTCCTTTTTATGGCTGAATAATATTCCATTGTATGGATATACCACCTTTTGTTTATCTAGTCATCAGTTGATGGACATTTGGGTTGTTTCCACTTTTTGGCTATAATGAACAATGTTGCTAGGAACATTCATGTACAAGATTTTATGTGGACCTATGTTTTCAATTCTCTTGTGTAGATACCTAGTATAAAAATGGTATAGAGACATCTGACCTCATCTAACTTCAGGAGGGGAGAGGAGACTCAAGATCAACAGCCCAAGGCTGATTCCTGTGAGGTGGAGGTCAAACATACCTCCACCTTCTAACCTTTTCACCGATTCTGCCACCAGCCATCCCTCCAACGGCACTCTCTACTTCTTTGCTGGGTTCGATAATTTCTTGCAGTGCCATGCAGAACTCACAGACTATACTCAACAGTTATGGGGTTTATTAGGGAAGTAACAGATTGCAATTCAGGATCAGAAATGACTCCGAATATAGTTCTTCAGTCAGGACAGCTTCTCAGCTGTGCCTGCAGGCAAGTCTCTCTCTCAGCCCCTCGGCCTTTCAGCCTTTGGCCTGGCGTCTGCCCTGCTCAGGCAAAGGTTACAAAGCTTTCTAGCTCTGCCAATAAGTGCCCGGAGGTGCCCCACTCCACCAGCCAGCCTCTTCCCTAAAGGCACTCAGTTCTCTCACTCAATGAGTCAGCACACCCCCTGTAGCTGCCTCGCTTCATGGGCCAGAAAGCCCACTGCGCTGTCTCACACCAGTCAGTCTCCTGGTTCTGCTGCTGCTGTTTCTTTGCCAATGCTTCTTGCCATCTCACTTCTTGCACCCACTGGTGTTACAGCTCTCACTCTGTGTCTCCTAGATCTAGGAGGCTCTCAGCACAGGGACTCCAGGTCCAAAGGATGCGCTTTGCCCCTAGCTCTTCTTCTTGGAGGTAGTGAGGAGTCCCCTTCTCAGCCTTTGGGATTGGCTCATTTTAAGACTAGCAGGATGGCAAAACTAACCAATCCCCTCATTAGGGTTCCATATACCTTATTTGCATGGCCCCACCCTCACTAGAGTTCCATGCACCTTATTTGCATTGTTAGCAAGCTGTCTAATCCCTTTGGTGGGCTAAAAGCACCTTATTTGCATAGCTTCTCCCAATCATTTTGTGGGAGTTACAAGACCATGTATGGCTAGAAGGGTCATG